TGCCGTTTGCCTCGCTCGTCGCTGCGTGCCAGCTGGGGGGCTGCGATCTGCGAAACTGCCGCCACTTTCGAGGCCTGCTGGGGGGCCCAGCACAGTGTGCACCCGCGGCGGATTCAAATTAGACCTCGCCATCACTGGGGGGCTGCAATCCGTGAAACTGTCGCCACTTTCGAGGCCTGCTGGGGGGCCTAGCACAGTCTGCACTCGCGGCGGATTCAAATTAGACCTCGCCATCCCTGGGGGGCTGCGATATGCGAAACTGTCGCCACTTTCGAGGGCTGTTGGGGGGCCCAGCACAGTCTGCACTCGCGGCGGATTCAAATTAGACCTCGCCATCCCTGGGGGGCTGCGATATGTGAAACTGTCGCCACTTTCGAGGCCTGCTGGGGGGCCCAGCACAGTGTGCACCCGCGGCGGATTCAAATTAGACCTCGCCGTCCCTGGGGGGCTGTCGCCACTTTCGAGGCCTGCTGGGGGGCCCAGCACAGTGTGCACCCGCGGCGGATTCAAATTAGACCTCGCCATCCCTGGGGGGCTGTGATGTGTGAAACTGTCGCCACTTTCGAGGCCTGCCGGGGGGCCCAGCACGGTCTGCACTCGCTGCGGATTCAAATTAGACCTCGCCATCCCTGGGGGGGCTGCGATCTGCGAAACTGTCGCCACTTTCGAGGCCTGCTGGGGGGCCCAGCACAGTCTGCACTCGCGGCGGATTCAAATTAGACCTCGCCATCCCTGGGGGGCTGCGATCTGTGAAACTGTCGCCACGTTCGACGCCTGCTGGGGGGCCCAGCACAGTGTGCACCCGCGGCGGATTCAAATTAGACCTCGCCGTCCCTGGGGGGCTGCAATCCGTGAAACTGTCGCCACTTTCGAGGCCTGCTGGGGGGCCCAGCAAAGCGTGCACTCGCGGCGGATTCAAATGGGACCTCGCCATCCCTGGGGGGCTGTGATGTGTGAAACTGTCGCCACTTTCGAGGGCTGTTGGGGGGCCCAGCACGGTCTGCACTCGCTGCGGATTCAAATTAGACCTCGCCATCCCTTGGGGGCTGCGATCTGTGAAACTGCCGCCACTTTCGAGGGCTGCTGGGGGGCCCAGCACAGTGGGCACCCACGGCGGATTCAAATGAGACCTCGCCATCCCTGGGGGGCTGCGATCTGTGAAACTGTCGCCACTTTCGAGGGCTGCTGGGGGGCCCAGCACAGTGGGCTTCCCGCACGTCGTTCTCCTGCTCTTCGTCACCGACTCCCCATGTCCTCTTCGAGCCTGTAGGTGTCGCCCCTCGTTCTTGTATGGTTATCCGGCGCATCATTCCATTGGCGCGTGTCCCAAGTAGCTTACATATCAAACAACGCATCCTGCAATTTGATTGTCCGTGCAAGTTTCCGCCAACTCCTCGTTTCCCATGATACAAATGGGTTGGGTACGTCACAGGGTAATTTACAAGCGTCCCCAAGCTATTTGTTGGCCTATTTCTGACTATTCCGTTTGCAGAGGGCAAGGCCCGACTTGATCATCTTGTCCAGATGACAGGAGCACGGTCTCAATGTTTCAGTTGTGCCACCTACCGTAGGGGCTCGACCACAAGAAACCTTCCACAGGAGACACCAATCCTGAGACCCCAGGACGTCCAGTGAGCTGGCGGGGGAACGTCACGCTTTCCGTAGCAAAGCCATCGCAACCCAAGAAACCCAGGGCACCCTGGAGGTAAGCAGGCTGCTTCTAGGCATGGGCCTCCACTGTAAGACCACTGGTCGGGCGTGAGGCGTTGATCGCGCACCCTGGGGCCCCCCGCGCTCACTCGTCTGGTGACCCTGCTGCTTTGCGCGGCGTCCCGCCCTGCAGAGTTTACGGGCGATCGATGGCGCAGAACTGTCGGCTCCGCTCCGAGGCTTGCCCGCCAGGAGGCAGGCCCACGAGGGTAGGCGCCAGGGTGGTGCCCCGCCTCCGACGAGGCCTCCCGCCAGAGAGTGGCATGCCATCTCCTGAGCAGTAACAGCAAATTGGAGACATGGAATGCAATGGTGATGGTGCGAGCGCCCTGGCCAGACCCCGTCTGCGCCAGTTGTCCAACCCAAAACATCCTCACTTCTACGCCTCCCTCCTCCTCGCCCTCCCCTCCGCCCTGGACACCACACACTCCCATCCTCCCTCCCCCCTCCCCTCCTCATCCTCATACGACTCTCCATCCCTCCTCATCCCTAATACCTCCTTCCCCTCCGATCCACGTCCCTCGTCCCTCCTCCGCATCCCTCATCCTTCCTGATCCTCTCCTCCTCCTTTTCCTACTACTACTGCTGCTACTACTACTACTACTACTACTACTACTACTACTACTACTACTACTACTACTACTACTACTACTGCTGTTTCTGCTGCTGCTGCTGCTGTTACTACTACTACTACTACTACTACCACCACCACCACCACCACCACCACCACCACCACTACTACTACTACTACTACTACTACTACTACTACTACTACTACTACTACTACTAC